TTTTTTTTTTAAAGTGTTGGGCGGACTCAGTCCGGTTCTACTCATCTGGTTGGAATAGGGTTGTTGTGGGGGAAGCTTATAACACACACACACACACACACACACACGCTGATGAGTCGGTGAAAGTCCGATGAAACAGTCTGGCGCAGTAATGCTTTCTTTTAGTGTAGAGCGAACACACACACACACACACAAACACAATCTTGGAGTTGTGAATAGGGAACATGACAAACCACATCAACAGACAAACTACGGGCTGCGCACCCATGCCCTCACGGTAAGTCAATTGGGGAGGAAGGGAGGAGAGGGGTTCCCACAACCCAGCCCACATATCATCGCCGGTACACCCCACATTGCATCACCTAGCCCACATAGCACCATCCACCCACCTCAGCTTCTACCAGCCAGGCATCCTTCTCTCTCTCTCTCTCTCTCTCTCTCTCTCTCTCTCTCTCTCTCTCTCTCTCTCTCTCTCTCTCTCTCTCTCTCTCTCAAGAATAACATCTACTACTGTGTGAACCCCCTGTATCCAAGTTAAGGATACTACCTGCCCTTTCTACTCGCCTATACTCCACTAAGGCAACGCGACCAACCAATGGCCTCAATGTTTTGCTTCATAATTGTGTTCCTGTTTTCAACTATTTCGTTCACCACACCATGCAAACTTGAAGAACTTTCTTCTCCATTCCCTCTTATGCTGGGCAACTTCTCTATTGCCACTAATGCTGGCATCTTTTCTATTGCCTTTTCGTCGGGATTTTTTTTTTTTTTTTTTTTTAAACCACCAGTACTTGGCCCAGCTATCGGCCGCGGAAAAAAGTAGAGTAGAAATGTTTCTAGTTGGATGAATTTGGGCGCTCCTGTAGTGGCCCGTACGTTTCCGAAAATTGCGTAGCGTTAATGCTACGCGACTTTAGGAAGTACTGGTGGTTTAAGAAAAATGATCAACTTTCCACGGGGAATTTTTCAGTCCCTTTTGTTGTACTTCTCTTCTCCTTCTATTTTCCATTTTGACGTAGATGGAGTTCGGCTGACCCTTTTTGGAATTTATGGAATTCAATTCATAAATAATATTTAGATCAAACAAATTAATTTGCGTAACTTGTGCTTGGATGCATGCTCGGGTGCCTAGCCAGGCATGACCACCGGGCAGCCTTCTGGGCACCCAGCCCTAGCACAAGAAAAAAAGTTATGTTATCCAGGGAAGCCTGCTCAAGTACAGTTGTCCATATGAAAAAAGGAAGAAAACTTAGAAAAGTGGTAAAGTTTGAACGGTTTGGATTAATAATTTAATGCGTAGATTGATTGAACACAAAAACCCTTAAATTTTCGGCAATGAGGTTTTTCACCTGATTTTTTTAGAAGGTAACCAACCGTCAGGTCAGGCGGCAAATAAGGCACTAACCCCACCCCCTCGTCCGGGGGGACGCGTGGATGAGCGCATACATAACTCAAATAAGTTCCTTGTTTTGTTGTGGCACAACGAAGCCGATTTAGCGAACTGAAACATCTAAGTAGGGAAACCATAACAAGGTACGACCGCTCATTCTAGCCAGCGACCGCTGAGCTGTTTGGGATCCTCAGAGACTTTACACGATAATTCTCTCAATCAAACAAAAGAGCGCCCTTGCGCCATCAGCCTTCCTAAAGGCACTCTTATTCATCTGTTTTTTCTCAGTAGAACCAAAAAAACAGAAGTTCTGATCAATTGAGTAAGTTGATAAACCAGATTGCAACAACTTTTATTGGGTCTGTGTTGCCATAAGGACAAATTAGTTTTGGGGGAGCTACTGTAATTAGCAAAATCGTGCGATGGAATGATAAATAGTTTGAATGTAAATCTATTGCAATCTATGAATCAAAACTGCGTACGTTCGCGGAATACTCGTGAACGTGAGATGATGGTTGGATAAATTGCCCGGACGTGTTCGGCAAGGCCGATCAGCTCAATACTACGTGTCAAATCTTCAATGTTTTGCAGGTGCTCACAAGAGATCACTTTTACAAAGTAATGATGCGCCACAACCTTGGTGTCATGTTAAAATCCAAAATTCGTATCAGTTTTCAATAGGCATTTACAAAAGGTCGCGCTATGGTGCGAAAGACAGGACATAAGATTACCGCCCCTCTTTTTCCACAATGATCTTTCAGCTCCTAGGAACACGTGAAAGTTTGCTTCATCACTCTCCACCGATTGTCTAGATGAATCCAAGATCGGGTACGAGATTGACTGGGCCGTGTAAATAAGAAGTAAACAATCAGTGGCAAAGCAGCACATATCATTATTGTTACGTCGACCACCAGGTCGAGAATTTTTCCACCATTACGGACGGACAAATCCTTTTGGAAACAGGACAGTTTTATCGTGGAATCCGACCTGCTATTCATGTAGAAAAGACTGAAAAGTCGAAATCTTCAAAACCACCCAATCAGATAGTAGTATTAATACGGAAGTGTTTCGAGCATCCCAAACATAAAAGGTTTCCCACATAGATTTTCCCCGAAAACTTCCAGATGCAGGTCATACTGGAGATGATCTACAAAGAATTTTTTTTTCATTGCGGTCGTGCTTTTCAGCCTGGTAGAGGTTCCGTTGCAGCTCTGACTCGTGCGGAAAAAAAAATAAAAAATACAGAGTTCCCAATTTTGCAAGAATTCTCGCTAAGATAACGGTTCCAGCGGTGAGGCTTTCTACATGAGCGTCAATTTTTGCTTTGGCTTTGAGAGATCGATCATCAAATGCTCCGTAAAAATAAAAAAGAATTCATAATGGTTTTTAGTCCAAGTGCCAAAATGGTATTTCTTACCTATTTATGCAATTCTTTGTAGTATATCAAATAAATTAGGAGGTGTCGAAGGTGACTTAGCTAACTATTTTGGTTCTATAGATCACAACGTTACCATGCAAATTATCAAAAAAGAGATTGTCGGTGAAAATTTTCATTTGTAGAATCAATATGTCAAATAAATAAGACGACATAGAAGTCCACAACTAGACGGACACAAATTATTCATCGCCGTTAAAGATTCTCGAAGTTTGGCGAGCGTGCTGGTTGACCAATGAATTTGGAACTTCCACCTCCAAGGCATTTCCAGCATATAGCGAAATGCTTGGACGCTCATGTTGCCTAGTTTCAACATTCTCGGAGTGACAAATTCTGATGAAAACCTAGGCTACCGGAGTGGCCCGGGGTCGCTTGCCCGGCCGGGCCAAAAAAAATAAAAATAAAATAATATTTTGAAATTTTATTTTATATTATAAATTTGGTGAAGAATTTCGATGTGACCTTGAGGGAAAAGTTTTTCAGTTTATTTTTCTGCGTAACATAGTTTTTTTTTCGGATTTTTTTTTTTGCTGGGACCTTCCCTGGTCCTTGCACGGGCTGGCCACCCGGGACCCGGGCGGCACGGCTGGTAGCCTAGATGAAAACATAATTTCGTTTTTTTCAACTTTTTGAGGAGTATGAAAAATTGAAAATAGAATTTACCGAAGAATAAGTACCTAAACCAAGTTGTTTGATCGGGGGGCAGAGTCACCTTTTGTGATAATTTATATGCGATTATCCAGATTCCGATGTTTCGCAGAAAACTGCGTCCCTTGAACCCCATTAGCCCCCCTTCCCCCCCCCCCCCCTTGCCATGCTCAAAAATAGAAAAGAGTCCAGATTTGGCCCCCTCTCGGAATGCAAGGAAAACCCCCATTGCCGGGGGGGGAGGAGGGGAGGGGGGGGTAGGGGGGGGTGCAAACAATTATTCCCATGCGTGGGTACCCCAGATGTCAGACCCCTGGGGTGACGTGCCATGATACCTTGCCAGGTCCGCTTGCTGGTCGACCCAGGTAGCCTAGTACATAATTAAATATAATATGTATAAATACAAGGTAATTGGTGTTCGGGTTCAGCCGAACCCGAACGCCCGAACGTACGGGACCCCTTGGGGATGCGTTAGGCCGTTCGGGCCGAACGCGGACCAAAAAAAAAAAAAAAAAAAAAAAACAATTCAAGCAAATCTGAAAAACAAAACTGTTATGAAGAAAAATAAAATAAACAACATTTGCCTGAGCATTACATCCAAATTCCTTACCAAATTTGAAATAAAAACTAAATACATAAAATAAAACTAATAATTTTGGCACTGCCATCTTCTGCAATTTTCCATTTTTTTTGGCACGGCCAAATGCCCCGAAAAATTACAGATGTGTACTTCACATAATACAAAACTCATTGAAAAAATTTGAAAAAATAATAAAATTGTTAGGCCCCACAATAAAGTGAAAATGAAAAGTAGAAAGTGAAAAAAAACAAAATAGTGAGTGGGCGAGCACGTTTTGACATCACCATCTTTGGCGGTTTTTAATTTTTGTTTGGCTTAGCAAAATACCTCACATCATAGAGAACTCACAAAAACAAAATTCAGAAAGGAGAACGTATTTTCAGGCCCGGAAATAATTTTCGGCGGGGGCCAAACGCCTTCGGGGGGACCCCAAAGGCCCGTACGTACGGAGGTCGGCCCGAGGACGTCTGTCCGTACGGGCTGGTGACCCTGTATAGGTACATACAATCAGTAAAATGAATGCTTTTAAAAATAAATGGATGGATACATAAAAATGATATAATGATATTAAGTCCTTTGGGACATCTGTTAAAATTGGAATGATACAGAGAAGATTAGCATGGCCCCTGCGCAAGGATGACGCGCATAAATCGAGATATAATTATATTAAATAAGTGAATATAATATTTACAGGACGGTACAATGTCTGTCGACTTAATTGCAGCGGCGGGGATTCCGGATCTTGCGGTCTTTTGTGCCACAAGTGGTCGTTCCCGTGGAGAGTCAGGAGAGTGGAGGGCCTACAAGTTCCGACTGCAAGGGTTTTCAAGGACTCTGGCCAGCGAAAAGCCAGCAGCATCAGACAGGAAGGCGATGCGAAACTGTGGTGGACTTGACACATGACATTGATTGATGATGGTGTTGTCGTCTGGATCGAGGATCAGTACTGGAATTTGAAGAGAGCGTCGTTCAATTGTTTGTTGAATGAGATGAGACGAGATGGGGCAATATGTATATAACCGGTCTGTGAAGTAGAAGCAAACATCATGTGATTGTTAGATCCCTTGGTTGCTTGTGTCTTTTCTTGCCCCCATGCTCGACGCAAAGACGAATAAGAAGTAACCTGTTGTTTACGTCAACAACAGAGATCGAATGTACGTACATCCTCTCTCTCTCTCTCTCTCTCTCTCTCTCTCTCTCTCTCTCTCTCTCTCTCTCTCTCTCTCTCTC